TCCTTACGCCTTTCTCAAAACGCTATTTATCATCCCTCCCTTCAACTTGTGGGCAGACTTCTGTCTTTCCTCCATCTGGGTCCCTTTGACCCTCTCCTATTTCCTTCACCAGCTACCTTCTCGCACCACCAGGGAAGCAGTGGTTCATGCCCTAACTTGACCTCTACTGCCCAGGAAAGTGTGACTCCTCCCAGCAGTTTGAAACAGGTCACTCTGGACACCTGTCTCCCCTGGTCAGGACACAGAGTCATCGTGGACCACCCCACCTGCCTTTAGACTCTCCTGTTTCAGGTAAGTCTTCCCCTTAAGAACCTGTGGAGAGGCTAGGAACTTTGGGCCATCCCTTCCTCACTGCTGTCCCTCTAGCAGCTGACAAGTGGCTCATGAGATGGGAGCAACCTGCCTACTCTCAGGGGTGTAGGAGAAGCTCGGTCATCCTTCAGTGCTTTGTAAACACTAGGGACAGCTCCATCGACTTATACCAGCAGCAGGAGCCCAAAGTCTCCTCCAGCGGGGCATGTTCAAATAGGATCTGCAGTGGGATTCAGTCCTGAAAGCGGATACAATCAGAAGTCAAAGAGGCCAAGGATGGTGGCCACTGTGTCCTGTCGGTGCTGAAACTAGAGTTTGGGAAGAGACAGTGTACTGAGCTGCCTGGAACCTGCACAGCTATGCCTCCCTAGCCCCTGTGCCAGAAGGACTCTTTCTCCAGATCTGTCCAGGCTTTGCACATTTTCACTCATTCTGTCTCTCGGATTTTCCTGGGACATGGAAGTAGAAAAGCCCTATTCCATGTCCCTCAGCATGCCAGCCTCTCCCAGATATCCCCTCCCTCTCCTACTAGATAAGGACATAAAGCTAAGGAGGGACCAACATTAGTCCGTGCAGACTCAGGGAACTATCTTCTCCGGAGGGACCTTTTAAAAGATCCTGTAGTTTAGCCTCTCTGAAGCATTTGGAGCACAACCATTGCTGTTCATTCCAGACACCACCAGCCCCATGTGATGACTGAGCATGGGAGGTGTACCTAGTGCAGTAATCCAAACTGAGACAGGTCGAGTAGTCTAAAAATATTATGTTGAAGACTAAATATTTAAAAAGTCTAAATAATAGCTTATATTGATCAAACTTTGAAATGATTGTATTTGGATATCTCGGGCTCAATAACAATAGCACTAAAACTAATTCTACCTGTTCCTTTTTACTTTTTTAGTGCAGAAACTAGAAAAACTTAAGTTGTGCCTCACATCGGTGACTCACATTTATTTCTATCGGGCAGTGCTGTTAGAGACTAATTTAGGAATCTTGTTCTTTCCTCTGAAGAATGCACATATATAATACTTTGCAAAAGATTTCCAGAGTGGAGAAGTCTCTGGAGATTTACCACAAAGTGGCTGAAAAACTGAGAAGCCTACCTGTTTCCAGCTTCCAAATTCTTGCCCCAGGACTGCTATCATTTTGCAGTAGCGGCAGCCATAAGCATAGCACACAGCACTACTGGGCACAGAAACTAATGCTAGTGGACAATCGTCTCAGCAGGATGATGCAATAAACCCTGACTGAGACCATTAGGCTTTTGCCTGCCTTCTCTCTGAATGCCACCCCACTGTGGAATACGGGTGAGTCTCCAGCGTCTCTGGACTATTGTTTTCTCTTCTGACAAAAGAGGGGGTTTAGCCAAATGGCTGCTAAATGATGTGACTATGACTCTATATCAAAACAAAGTCATACAAATAAGATATCAATGTGTATACCACCTTTATATAAAATAGTGAACTTATTTAATAGAAAAAGCTGAGGGAAAAAAGAGAACCAGTGTTACTGGTCCTCCAGCACTGAACAAGAAAATTCTCTGCTGCTCTTTGCAGAAAAAGAAAAAAAAAAAGCTTTTTGAAATCTAAGCTGAATATAAACGCCTTTTCAATGGAAGATTCAAGGTTTATGGACTTTATGACATCAATAAAAATGATAAATAAATGTAAAGTCCAAATAATTCGGAAGGAAATGCCTCAGATTCCTTCACCAATGTCTGTCTCTCTCAACTTCTGTTTTTGGGCTAGAAATTTTAATGAAGACATACCTTGCTTGGAAGGCTGAGGCAGAAGAATCGCCAGAGCCCAGCAGGTTGAGGCTGCGGTGGCCGGGAGTGGCCACTGCACTCCAGTCTGGGCGACAGAGTGGGACTCCAACTCAAAAAAAAAAGACATACCTTGCTATTGAAAAAGCCCAGCACCGCCCCCACCCCAGCTCCCCCCATCCCCCTCTACTGAAGGCCTAAGTCAAGGCTAAGACCTCCCAGCGTGTGTGAGAAAGAGAAGGCAGGGAAGGACCTGAAACTTAAGTGTGTTCTATTTGATTGCTCCTTTACTCCATCTTCCCCACTGTGCTGATAAAACCCAATGGGCCTGGAGAGGAGATGCCCTTTCTGCTTTCTGACACTCTCTCAGTGCCTGACTCCAAAGAAGAGTGAATTCTGTGAACTGGTGATTATCCGGGCGTTGCCAATAAGGGCAGAAGGCCCCTCACTCACTTCCTTACAGAACAAAGTCATTTCAGCAAGAGGAGACTCTCATTGTGGTGAAACTTCACCATCGTAAACCTCTGTCTTCCCTCTTCATTAATTTCTGCTTTACTCTTTATGAACTCTGTGGCCTTCTTTGTTAGTTTTCTCATCTCCAAAATAGAAAAAATAGCAATGTCCACTTTTTTATTTCTTTGAACTATATACACCACCTGATTTTGGTTTCAACCTATGGGGTGATAGACTCGCTCCTTTCTGCATGGAAATCCCTTGGGGAAACATTGAGAGGCCAAGATTATATCTTTCCTGAGTGATCTCATCATTAGGATAATCATCCCCTGACTCTCCAACTTTTATTTCTAAGAAAAAAAGTTCTTTCGCTGTCATTGTCACTTGTTTTGGGGAGCCTCTTAGGTAGTCTGTCTCTGAATGAAGGATTCAGAAAGACAAGAGCATGGCTGGTGCTTTGCTGCAGGTGGCGTGGCCAAGTGTACAAAAGGCAGCATGGTAGAGTACAACAAGAATCATCATCATTTTTAGAGGGTTTGCTGTATGTCGGGCACTGTTCTGAACACTTGGGCTAATGTACTTATTCTTCACAACACCCAGTAAAATAGGTTCTGGTTTTATTCTCAGTAGATGAGAAAACAGAAGCAGAGAGGTATTCAAAGAGCATGGGCTCTGCAGACAGAATTAATTTAAAATCTGTCACCCACAAGCTATTAAATTTTGGGCCATTTCCTTACTGGTTTCTAGTAGGGCCCTGTGAAGAGTATACTAAATTTATGGACTTAAATAGAATAACAGTTACAAAGCACTTGATACATTGAAGGTACTCAGAAAGTGTCCGCTGCTTGATAACTCTTAAAAAGTTGCGTTTTCAATGGTGATGCTTCATTGACATCAGAATGTCATACACTCATTCCTTCACTGTTTCATGTGTTCAATAAACACCTGGGAATAGAAAGGTGAATAAGACGTGATCTCCCTCCCCTGGGGATGCTCATGTGGTCAGTAACGAGCAAACAGGCGAAGGCTTGGGCAGGAGGTGCTAGGAGAGAGGAAGACACTAGGTGGCGCTGTGAGAAAGCAGTTGGAAGCACCTCCATGGCTGACTTCTGGGTGAGGAAAGCTTTTTGCAGCTTTCTGAGCTGAGTCCAAAGCGATGAACGGGAGTTAGTGAGGAAAGGTGGAATGTACGAGAGGAGACACAAAAAAACAGAATTTATTTATTTTAAAAGTATCTATTTATTCTTACATGTTTAAACTTCAGTTGCCTTCAACTCTCTATTGATGCACTCTCCATTTGATGCAACACACCTATCGAGACACTTTTCCCATTGATTGAAACAGTTTTTGAACTTGTCGATTTTGATGTCTTTTAGTGCTTCTGCTGTTTTTTGCTTCACCTCTTCCACATTGGCAACACGTTTCCCTTGGAGGACTTTTTTCATCTGGGGCAACAAAGTCGCTTGGAGCAAGATTGGGTGCATAGGGAGGGTGGGGTATGGGGATCATGCAGTTTTGGGTCCACAACAGCTGAACCTCAGGGTGGTGTGGGCAGGTGCGCTGGTAAATCACCTATCATGAAACGAACAAACAGGTTGAAAGAATCTTCAAAAAACCTTCACTTCAAAAAAGCTCAGCCTCTCACAAAGCCAGCTGTTATTCTGATTCCAATGGGTTCCTAGACCACTTACCTAGTGAGGGAAGCCTGTACTACAAGGGGCCTGCCTTCCAAAATAAAATTTCAGGGTTTAACAAGACATTTAATGTTTGTTTTGGGGGTCCCCTCCTTGTACATTGTTCAGTTAATTGAGATAAGGGACATATACCTGAACTTTAAACAAAAGCAAACAAACAGGAAAGGACTGTTCAGACTGTAAAGGTGGTCACTAGGATTCCATGCTGCAGGCTGTGTGGACAGCTGGGCAGAACTTAGCCAACCATGAACTGTCTCTCCAGCAGTTTGGAGGTAAGTTCTCCGTGGGCCAGTGATGGATAGTACAGCCCAACCACCACCAACGCTGGCCTGACAACTCATTGGGGATACTGAGGATTTGTTCTCCAAAAGGTAGTGAGCAAAAAGGGAGAAGATCAAGGTCATGCCTTAAGTCAGGTCACCACCTAGTTAGAGAGCTCTCTTAGGTGCCATATCATTGCATCTTTATTCCCAAAGAACTCAGCAATGCCTTGCACATGGCGGGAGCTTAATGAGTACTGTTAGTATCAATGAGTCATGTCAGAGTTCTAAGGTGGCTGTCTGTGCTATGTGGTCTGATCTCAGGCGGCAGAACTTGCAGAACTGTCTTCACACAGAGGATGTGCTAACAGGTGGTGAGGACACCCTTTCACAGTGAGGCAGGAGGCTCCATTTCGGCCTCGCCTATGGGGAGTTTGACTTGGTGGACTCAGCCAAGCCACAGTGATCTAAAGCTTCTCAGTGGTGATTCCAGGCAACAGTGCAGTCCCTGCAGACATGCTGTCACTGCTTCAAGCATCGATTCTGGCAGTCCTTGGGGCTTGTAAGTTGTTTTACTCCCCTAATTACGTTTGGCTGATATTCTCTATTTTTATTGTTGTAAGTTCCAAGTTTTAGATTTATTTATTCCCTTTCTTTTTTTTCCCTCAGTGTGTGTGACTGGTGCAGATCACCTAGAACAACCTCAACTTTCCAGTACTAAAACGCTGTCAAAAACAGCCCGTCTGGAATGTGTGGTGTCTGGAGTACCCATTTCTACAACGTCCATATATTGGTATCAGGAAAGGCCAGAGCAAGCCATACAACTCCTGATGTACATTTTAACTAACAACACTGTCAAAAGGGAAACAGGCGTTGCATCCAACAAATTTGAGATTGAAAGGAGACCTGAAACTTCTACGTCTACCCTCACCATTCACAATGTGGAGAAACAAGATGCAGCCACATACTATTGTGCTTTCTGGAAGGCGCACAGTAGCAGACAGTTAGAGCCTTCTCCTTCAATAAATGTTCATTGGGTCTTTAGTCATTATTTTGAATTGGGAAACCACAATCACCACCATTTTATACAGTCTTTTAGATAAATGTTCATGTGATGACTGTGTCAAGTTGCTAAATTCTATCATTTTTTTAATATAGGAAGCTTTGCATAAGTATACAGTTCATGAACTCATCCTAGAAAAAGTGCTACCTACCTCATTGCTGAATACCACTATGGTCACCTTCGAAGTATGCACCTTGGGAAGCTATGCACCAACACCAGCACCTCTTCCACCTGTCAGAGCAATTTTGGAACTCTTTTTCTGGAATGGCCATCAGAGCTGTGTTGTATCCCCCTTGATGTCTTAAATGTCATTGAAATGTCTTTCTTTCAATAGTTCCTTTGTCTTCAGGTAAAGAAAAAAGTCACTGAGGGCCAAATCAGGTGAGTAGGAGGGGTATTCCAATACAGTTATTTGTTTACTGCCCCAAACTCCCTTATAGGCAGTGCAGTGTGAGCTGGTGCATTGTCGTGATGCAAGAGCTCCTTCGGGACCATTTTTGCACACATCTTTCTCATGCCAGGATTTTCAGTTAAGATTTTCCTGTTTCTCCATTGATGTTTATTTGGTCTGCTATGCTTCTCATGGTCAGCTGACAATTTTGAAACACAGTTCAACACATTTTTGCAATGTTTTCATTAGTTCTGCTTGTTACTGGCCGTCTTGACCTCTCTTCATCAGAGATGCTTTCTGTTCTCTCAGAAAAACCTTTAATCTATTTATACACTGCCGTTTTCTTCATAGCATTATCCCCATAAATTTGGACTCGCATGTCCCTGATTTCACTTTCACTCTTGCCGAATTTAACAAGACATTTAATGTTTGTTTATTGCTCTAATTCAAGTACCAACATTCTCATGATGGCACACAAAAACATGCAACAACAATAATGAATGCCACTCACCAAGACACCACCACATGTTGACACAAACACAGCTGTGAGACACTGATATACCAAGGTTATGAAACTTCACCAAGTTGTTTGTACAGTGCTGCCAACGTAAGTGCACAGTGGCAGGTTTGCAAATTTAATTGTCAGACCTCGTATTCATGTAATCAGCCTCAGTTTTTCTGGAATCTGGTCTCTCTGACAGTTTTTCTAGGTCACCATGTTTATTTTATCTGGATCAATTCTCCCACTCAATAACTGCATTTTCTTTTGCCAAGATATATACACATTTTATTGTGATTCTTTTGTACTAATCAATTTGCATTACATTACTTTTTTCTGATCTTCTTATCTTTCTTGATTTTAAAAAAAAGAATATTGGTTGAATGATATTCATTTTCCTAGAGGCTAAAAAGTAACAAACACAACATGATCTAACCACAAGCAGACTGCAATGACAAATATATCACATGCGTGTCTTAGAGTGGTGATGTTTAGTTTTGCAAAAAACTTATGAACACTGCTACTAATTGAGTCCAAGTCAAAGTCTACTTTGGATTAAGATTAGAGGAATGGTTCATTTTCTGGCTTAAGATTTCGTTTTTCCAATAGCAGGTTTTTGATAGACTCCTCTGAGCCAAGCATTATGCCCAGGGGAAATTGCAGAGCTCATATGCTCTGCCAAGGCTTGAGGTGGCCTCTGTTGAGCCACTTTCTGCTACTGGACTGCCTTTCACCACTGAAATGACAGTCCTCAACCATCTCATGGTTATAAATCTCTCATGAACCTTGGCTGTATCTAACTGAACTCATGGTTTACAATTTGTTGGTATTGTTTTAATTTTTTGTCATGAAACCCTTTCTTGCAGTATGATCTTGCATTTATAAAGCAAATAAAAGCAGATTTCTGCTGGTAAAGAACTGCTGGATAAATGGTTCTTAGTCTCATCTTTCCAACAGCTCTTACACTTTGATTCCTCAGCATCTCTCAATAATTAGCTCAATTTTATGCATATGACATAAAAGGTGGTGAGACCCAGGCCTCTAGCGTTAGAGGACCCAGATCCAACTCGGGCTGTGCCCCGGATGAATTTCTCTAGCCCCATTTCCTTAAACTGTGCGTCTTCTTTCAGGAATTACAAACAAAGGTCCTGTCGTTGTGAGAGCTTCTGAGATGCCCAGGGCTCGGCATATTGTGACAACCCAGTAAGTGTTGGCTGATAAAAACCCTAACTGGACAAAACAAACAACATGACTAGCACACCTATTCAGTCATGTGTCACTTAATGGCAGGAATACATTCTGAGAAATGCAACCTTAGGCAATTTCATCCTTGTGTGAACATCATAGAGTGTGGCTACACAGATCTAGTTGGTAGAGCCTACAACACACCTAGGCTATATGGTATGCCCTATGGCTTTTTGCTACAAACCTCTACGGCATGTTACTGTTCTGAATGCTGGAGACCACCGAAACATAATGGTATTTGTGTATTTAAACATAGAAAAGGTGCAGTAAATATATGGTATAAAAGATTAAAAAATGGTACACCTGTATAGGACAGATCTATTATAATCTTATGGGGCCACTATCATGCATGTGGTCCATCTTTGGCCAGAAGGTTGTTATGCAATGTATATACGGGAACACACACACATATACTCACCAGTGCATATTTAGAGCTTTGCATTGCATCTGTCATAGTGTGGTTGACTACTACAGTTTATTGTGAGAACGGGTAAATAGGAAGAAACTCTCACAAAAGGTCAATCCAAATTAATTTAAATCTAAATTTGATCATGGTTTCATAGAACCTTAAACACAACTGGGAAGGACAGTAGCTTTACATTATGGGGCAAACAAGTTCATATATGGAGTCATTTATTCCTCCTGTCTTTCTTCTTTTGGCTAAGGTGAGTTTCACCAGGGTCATTTTGGCCACACCAAAGGCAATCATCTAGAGGCAAACCAGCTCTGTCCTAAGTCAACATTTGCCAGTTAAATGGTTGTTTACATTTCTGATTCATAGAAATACTAAAAGCATTTTATTAGAATGTACAGTACTGAATATCACAGTGGCTTAATAAATATCTGTTGGATTGAGATTGACATTTTGGTTATTATTGAGAGGCTTGCATTATCTAATGGGTGGGAGGTTTGTATCTAATTATCTAATTATCTAAAGGGTAGAAGGTTTGTGTCCACAGGTCCCTAACTCCTCTGCTGTGGACCAGTACTGATGTGTGGCCTGTTAGGAACCAGGCTGCACAGCAAGAGGTGAGTGGTAGGTGAGTGGAGCTCTGTCTGCTGTCAGATCAGTGGTGGCATTAGATTCTCATAGGAGCACGAATGCTATTGTGAACTGTGCATGTGATGGATCTAGGTTGTGCTCTCCTTATGAGACCTAATGCCTAATGATTCCCCCCAATCCTCCATCTGTGGAAAAATTGTCTTCCAGTTCTTGATGCTGGTGTAGATGAATGCCCTAAATATTCTGTTGATTGTGGCTCAACTTACTTTCTTGTATACCTACGGTGGGTGAGACATAATTACTCTGAATAATAAAACTAACATTATATTATCTAATTAAGGCTATAAAACATAAGAGAATCTTCAAAAGCAATATTTTATACACCATATCATCAATTACCTAACTCCCCACACATATTAGTACTATAGTAAAGAGAATGTCTATAACTTAGGAGACACCTTACAAACATCACAATTCTAGGAGTTGCTAAGCCCACCTGGATTGACTGTGCAATATTGGGTGCTTTTCGTGTTTAGTCCCATGAATGCCTTCAGAAAAAGCAGCCTGGGATAGGGCAAAAGGCACTTTGGAGTGATTATCTCCAGACATTGCAATCATGAGTATGTTTTTCTGTTATAATCTACTTTCTAAATTGTCTAATAGGAAATGCATATTACCTTTTAATTTTATTTCAAAATTTACTTTTAAATGCTTTATAATATTAACATTATCTGCATATTATCAAGCACTTAGAGACAACATGTGAAATTTGTTGGTTAGAAAGATTAGAAAGGCTTATAACAGGCTCTGCTTGACAACTTTTTTTCCCGCTACTTTAACAACTTTGGATTCCTTTGAAAAATAATCCTGATTCCAACTGATTCCGTATGCTAAGCTAAAGAAAATAGTAATGCTTTCAGTGCTCAAGGTAGCTTATTGGGCTTGTACATCTTCTTTGAACACTAGGATTTCCAAGCCTATGGATCCAAGGTCCTGGGGGAAAAAGACACAAATTCCTCCAGTGAGTTAATTGGTATAGAAAAGATGGCCACTCCCACCTACATCTACCTCTGGGTGTGGGGTAGATGGCACTATATATGGCCACTGAGGGTGGATGAACCAACTCAAGGTCACCTGTCAGGGAAGGAACCCTGACCTCCCTCTCCTCCCACTTCCCAGCCTTCTGCTGATGCTTCTGTTGGCTGTACCCGAACAGCAAACTGAAGATAAGGAAGACCATTAATGCAGTCCATGACAGGCAGACTTTTAAGGCAGAGTAAGATGGAGAAAGGACCTGGGGGAGCAAAGGAGGGGGACAAACATATAGTCAAACAGGTGGGTTTGTATGACCCCAAGGAAGTAAGACAAACTAGGGATCAAGATGATTGTTTTGCCTAGTTTGTTTCATTTCACATTCCACAAAACCACCAAGATCCCACCTCCAACAGAACAGGAAGTATGACTGTTTCTTTGGTAACAAAACTGGAAATAGGACAAGTCTTGAAAGATCATCATTAAATTATGTACTTTTCTAACTGATTTCTTAATAGAGTGGTGCATGCAGATTATTTGTAATGCTTTTGTTCTTGGGTTAAGTGAAGGAATCTCAGATATTTGTTGACACATTAAAGAAATCACCAACATGTAAGTATAATAAAATAAATATCATAAATAATTATAGTGCTCTATTATTATGGTGCTTCTTAAATCAATATTATGATTAATCCAATTCTGTCTTCTTGATGTTCTTTAAAATGATAAAAAGGGTAAAGTAGTAAAACAATCCCCTCAC